TTGGAGCCCAGGAAGCCCATCATCAGGGCGCCAATGGATGCAGTTCCTGGAGGAGGCTCTTGGCGGCGGCTTGCAGACAGCAATCTTGTGCGTCTCTGTGGCCTTTCATCCCGCAGTGCATGTGTGAGCTCTCCCACGTTTTGTTTTGTTTTGTTTTGTTTTTGAGACCGAGTCTCACTCTGTCGCCCTGGCTGGCGTGCAGTGGTGAGATCTTGGCTCACTGCAAATGTTACACCTGAGTTGATAGGAAAACACCACACTCTGAAATCTGACTGTGAGTCCTGTGTTGCTGGCAACCGAGAGTCAGCTCACACTTAAAATCTCTCGGGAAGGGGTTTGATTTCCATTTATATGTTGCTCAGGGGAAGGGGGCAGAGCGGAATTTTACAGAAGCAGAATAGGCAGGTTAGGGGAGGAGGCTGGTAACTAGGAGGCAGGAGGCTCCCGTGATTGTTGATTAACTGGGGTGGGTATACACGAGTGGTTCCCATGATTGCTGGTTACCAAGAGGGCATTCGGTACTTTCCATATAATCAATCAAGGGGGGATCACAACAGCAAGGGGGCCTGTGCAGCAGGATTTGTTTACAACGGTTATATGTTTCTATAGTTCTAAGCACAACATGACCCAGCACAGTGTGGCCCAGGTATGCACTCAAGGGAGAAACAGTGGGGCGGGGAGAAGCCAAGATGGAGTCGGTCAGGCTAGCACAAGTTAGGTTGTCACATTTCCCACTTGTGTTTTCGGGGAGTTGAAGCATTGACTTTTTAGTCATAACGAGAGGGTTATATTGGGTTTTGAGATGCAAAAGCTTGACAGACGCTATGCGCTGTTGAATGAAATTTAGGAACTTCTTAGGGAGCAGGTAAAGGAGATATAAACCAGCAGGATTCGGGCGAGCTTCCTGGACCAGTGGCTGGATGATGCCCTGAAGCTGTCGGAGAGACTGCAGGTACTGTAACAAGTTCGCTTGGGATATTTTTGCTATGTGGGTGTTTTTTAGTTTAGGCAATATAGGTGGAGGCCTTTTCTACATGATTTTAAAAGGAGAGAAACCTGCCTTTCAGGAGTGCATTCAACTTTAAGAAGGGCTACAGGAAGGAGGTTTGTTTAACCCTTACCGGTTTGTAAGATTAATTTTGTGAGAGTGCTTTTTAAGGTTTGAATTATGCGTTTTACCCGTTTAGAGCTTTGAGGTTGATAGGCATAATGGAGTTTTTATTGAATGTTTAACGCCTTACCGACTGACTGAGCTATGGACGAGGTGAAGGCTGGCCCATTATTAGATTTTACAGCAAACGGCAGCCCATGTGAGGGATGATTTTATTGAATAAGAATTTAACTATGGTGGAGGCAGTTTTGTTTTTGGTGGCAAATGCCTTAGTTTATTTAGAAAAGGTGTTTACCATTACTAGGAGACACTTACATTCCGCCCAGTGTGGCTTTGTTGTCATGAAGTTTCTTTTTTTACCTATTTTTGGGTCACATTCCCGGAGGCGGTGGCCCAGCTCAGGCTTCGGTTTTGGTTTGGCGTTTACCTGTGCACAGGCTGTGCGTTGGGAGGCTGCTTGGTTAAGTTTTGAAGGTGAGGGATTTAAAACAGTTTTTTAAAAGATGGGCTCATTTCACTTTTTTAAGTGGGTGGAAGAATGGAGGCAACCAACCAAGGCTTTTTTCAGGGCACAGGGCAGGAAAATTTTGGAATTTGGGAGAATTTACCAACTACTTGTGTTTTTACTGGCCTGAATGTTCGATGCTTTTTATTTTTTTTGGAGAGTATGTTGGGTGGTTGGGTAGGTCAGGCTGCCGGAAGGACAGGGCAGGCCGTCGGGTTAAAGGTGTGACCGGGAGCTGGGCTGCCTCTAGGGCGACAGAGTTTGCCCTTTGATTTTTTTGGGTAATGACTGCACTTTGTTTTTTTTTGTTGTTGTTGCTGCTGTTTTGATGTTGTTGTTTCTTTTTTTTTAATTTTTTTTTTTTTCTAAGACGGGGTTTCACCATGTTGGTCAGGCTGGTCTTGAACTCCCGACCTCAGGTGATCCACCCGCCTTGGCCTCCAAAGTGCTTGGATTACAGGCGTGAGCCACCACGCCCGGCCTGTTTTGATGTTTTTTGCAGTGGATTGCAGCCACCCCACTGCAGAGCTTGAGTGAGGGCAACCAGCTTAGTTTTTTTGCGTTGAAGTTCTGGCTGGCAGGACCTGGGCCCACAGAACGTTTGTTTTTGTGGTAACGGCCACACCGGCTTTTTGCACTTTTTTGCTTAAGGAAGCTGCTACTGTTGGTAAATACTGCTGCGGCATGTGCCTTTTTTAAAGGAACATCCTGGAGATGAGGTTGGCCAGTTTTTGTAGTTTTTAACAGCTTTTGGCAATTATGGACAGGTGCAGTTAGGTTTGGATTAGGAAGTAGGGTAGCTGGATTTGAACACCTTGTGGGGGAGAAAGTTAAACGAGGCTGATTTAACAGCAAACTTTGGTACGGTGATATGCAGGCGTTTGACATTTATTCACCGGAAGCGCTGCGCACCAACGTTTTAACAGCACGGGGAACTGTGAGGGTTAAATTCTGGCCCAGGGTTAATTTATTAGCTTTTTGGACCAGACTTTCTGATGCCGTTACGGCTTGTAGACAACGTGGAAGGCTTGTGTTTAACTTTTTGGAGTGTGGCCACTGAGATTTTTGCCTGCCTTTTTGAGGTCTTTTTAGCTGCCAGAGCAGGCTATTTTTGTTTTTTAGGGTTTTGATTGTTACAAAACCTTTTGAGCTATTTTTAGGAGCTGGGAAATGTTTCTTTGAATGAATTTTTTAAGTTTTTGTAACCTTTTTTTTTTAATATTAGGAGTTGCCTGAGCCACAAACGCCAGATTAATAGCATGGCTATTTTTGGGAGCCGCTGGATTAGGGGTGTAAATTTGATAGGCCTTTTGGAGGCTTTTTAAAAATGCTTTAGGTGACTCATCAGACCCCTGGACAACTTTAGTTGTTTTAGACAGATTTATGGGTTTTTTTTTTAAATTGTACTTTAGGTTCTGGGGTACATGTGCAGATCATGCAGGATTGTTGCATAGGTACATACATGGCAAGGTGGTTTACTGCCTTCCTCCCCCCATCACCTATATCTGGTATTTCTCTCCAGATTATCCCTCCCCACCCTCCCCACCCCCTGCTCTCCTTCCCTTAGTCCCCCCAACTGACCACATTGTGTGATGCTCCCCTCCCTGTGTCCGCGTGCTCTCACTGTTCAGCACCCACCTATGAGTGATACCATACAGTGATTTTCTGTTCTTGTGTCAGTTTGCTGAGAATGATGATTTCCAGATTCATCCATGTCCCTATGAAGGACGCAAACTCGTCGTTTTTTATGGCTGTGTGGTATTCTATGGTGTATATGTGCCACATTTTATTTATCCAGTCTATTGTTGATGGACATTTGGGTTGGCTCCAGGCCTTTGCTATTGTAAACAGTGCTGCAATGGATTTATGGGTTTTTGAGCGGCATTTCTAATGCCCACAAGGAGATACTGCTGGAAATTGTTTAAAGCTTTACTTCCCCCTGAGGTATTTGGGTTCCAGTTAGGCTGAGTAGAAGGAAAAACTTTTTTTAGGAGGTTTTTGGGGTGTTTTTTTTTTTTTTTTTCTGAACTAAGGAAAAACTGGGGCAGAATTGGGGGAGTAGAGGGGACCAGTAGTTCACAGGAAGGTGGGGTCTGGCTCAGAAGGACCTTGGAGCATGGACTGTGAACGACACAAGAGCGGCGCCACGGAGGCGGATTTTGGACTAAAGCCGCTGAGTAAGGAAACTGGTTTGGGTGTCCTGCCCTTTTAGTAACTACTCGCCAGAGTGTCCGGACCGTTGGAGCATTTAAAGACCCCTGTGTGTGGCTGTTTTGTTTTTTGTTTTTTGTTTTTTTTTTGAGACGGAGTTTCGCTCTTGTTACCCAGGCTGGAGTGCAATGGCGCGATCTCGGCTCACCACAACCTCCGCCTCCTGGGTTCAGGCAATTCTCCTGCCTCAGCCTCCTGAGTAGCTGGGATTACAGGCACGCGCCACCATGCCCAGCTAATTTTTTTATTTTTAGTAGAGACGGGGTTTCACCATGTTGACCAGGATGGTCTTGATCTCTTGACCTCGTGATCCACCCGCCTCGGCCTCCCAAAGTGCTGGGATTATAGGCTTGAGCCACCGCGCCCGGCCAGGCTGTTTTGTTTTAAACCTTGGCTATTTTACTTTACAGAGAGTTAGGAGTTTATCTGCAGTGAGGCAGACTTTGTAGTTATTTGAAAAACCCAAGGAGAAAAAAAAAATTTTAGCATGCACTGTAGGGGAGTGGACGGTTGAGAAGAGGCAACACCCTTTTTGGAAGGTATTTGGGGGAACTAGGTGGTTGGGGAATTTTTTTTGGCTTTATATCCAAGATAACTTTGATGTTTTTACGACTTAAAGGCAGAGGACTTGAACTGTGTTTTCTTTGCTGGGGTTTTAGGAGACAAGAGAGCCAACTTTTGGAGACACTGGACTTGATGTGATAAGGGAACAAGGCAATGCAGTTCACGTCCATGGGAAGTGGGGGGAGAAACTGAGTGTGAATAGGGGAAGTGGTCAAGTCAGGAGAGGGAGGGCCTAGGCAACGGTTAGCGTTCTACATGGGTATGAGGTCCCTGCACAGAATTTGTTAAACATAAAGTGCAGAGATAGACACAAAAGATGATGCCCCTGCACTCCAGCCTGGGCGACAAAGACTCCATCTCAAAAGAGAAAACAAACTTTGTCATATAACCTTTCAACCTAAAGCCTGAGCCATAGGCCCTTGATTCTGTGCTTGGGACCATGACAACCTCCCCATATCAATGTTCTTAAAATAGTTTCACCCCTACCAAAAGTCTGCTGGAGAGCCAAGTGAGGAGAGGGGTCCATCACTTTGGTCAGCACCTAGAAGCCAGTGCTAACGCAAAGTGATACCTTTTCAATCTTAAGGAAAATCTCAGAGTGGCTTTTTGTTCCCTGACCGGGAATTGAACCTGGGCCACAGCAATGAGAGCACCGAATCATAACCACTAGACCACCAGGGAGCAGAGTGGCTTCTGCGCATTTTCTATGAATGACCAAATACAGATACAAAAGCTGTGTTTCCCAGGGCAATGGGAAGTAAAGAGAAGCGGGGAGGTGAGAGGCAGACATACACAGAGACTCCCAGAAACGTCACACATACAGACTCACACAGAGATAGAGACACACAGAGACAGAGACAGCCAGGTGCAGTGGCTCGCACCTGTAATCGCAGCACTTTGAGAGGCCAAGGCAGGTGGATCACAAGGTCAGAAGATCGAGACCATCCTGGCCAACATGGTGAAACCCTGTGTCTACTAAAAATACAAAAATTAGCTGGGTATGGTAGTGCATGCCCGTAATCCCAGCTACATGGGAGGCTGAGGCAGGACAATGACTTGAACCAGAAAGGCAGAGGTTGCAGTGAACACTCCCACGCCACTGCACTCCCAACTGGTGACAGAGCGAGACTCCATTTCAAGAAAGAAAAACAAGCCGGGCGCGGTGGCTCAAGCCTGTAATCCCAGCACTTTGGGAGGCCGAGGC